GGTCTTCCTCTCCTGCACTGTCCTTCCACCCTTCAGAACATGATGTCTTTCTCCAAGGACTAGTCCCTCTGGCTACATGCCCAGAGTATGTGAGATGAAGTTTCAAAATCCTAGCCTCCAAGTAGAAGCTTGGTTTCACCCTCTCTAAGACAGATATTTGGTTTCTTGGCAGTCCATGATATATATGTTCAAGATTCTTCCCCTGCACCAAAACTTGAAGACATTGATTCTTCTTCTATCATTTTTCAGCTCTTTGAGGCATAGCAAGTAATTGTGAAGAACATTGTCTGTATTAGGCACACTTTAGTCTTTAGATTGACATCGTTGCTTTTTAATACTCTGAAGAGGTCCTTGACAGCAGATTTTCCAAGTGCAATTCATCTTTTGATTTCCTGACTGCTGGTGCCAAGTGTGTTGATTGTGGAGTTGAGCAAGCTGTAATTGTTAACAAACCAGTCTCTTCTCTATCCATTGTGGTGCTGCCAGTTGGCCCAGTGCTTAGAATCTTTGTCTTCTTGATGTTAAGCTTCAATCTATATTGAAGACTACAGTCCTTGATCTTCTATAGCAGACAGGTCTTCCTCACTTTCAGCAAACATATTTCTTTCTTTCTTTTTATTTTTATCTATCTATGTATCTATGTATCTATGTATCTATGTATCTTTGTATCTATGTATCTATCTATCTATCTATCTATCTATCATCTATCTATCTTCTTGTTGAAATAAACTCATAACTGACCTGTCCTTAGATTGCTAAAGCTGTAAATTTCATGGCAGGAGATTGTCCATCTTTCCCCTGTTGAGCTGCTGATGAGTTTGAACCTTAAGAGAGGTTCTTTTCTTGATGTTGAGATGCAATCCATAGTGAAGGCTGAAGTCTTGACCTTCTGCAGCACATGCTTCAAGTCTGCCTCAGTTTTGGTGAGCACAATTGTGTCATCAGCACAATATGTATTGTTGATGAGTCTTCTTCCGATCCTGATGCTTCTTTCTTCTTTATAAAGTCCAGCCTCCTTAATAATCTGTTTTGTATATAGATTGAAAAGGTATGGAGAAAGGATGCATCTCAGATGCACTCCTTTCTTGATTTTAAACCATGCTGTGTCCCTTGCTCTATTCACACAGTAGCTTCTTGGTCTAGGTCTAGGTATAGGTTTCTCATAGGAACAATCATATGTCTGGGATTTCCATTCTTCTCAATGTTACCACATCTTGTCAGATCCACACAGCCAAATGCCTTTGCATAGTCGATTAAAAAACAAATAGACAGACTTCAGATATTATCTGCTTTCAGCCACGATTCATCTGACATCAGTAATGCACCAGCAGTCAGGAAATCAAGAGACAAATTGCACTGGGAAAATCTGTTATCAGGGACCTCTTGAGAGTACTGAAAAACAACAGGGTCATTCTAGAGACTATGGTTCACCTTCGCAATTATTTGCTATGCATCAGAGAGCTGGACAATGACTAAGGATGACAGAGAAGAATATATGCCTTTGAGTTGTAGTGCTGGAGAAGAGTCTTGAACACACTATGAACTGCCAAGAAAACAAATAAGTCTGCCTTGGATTTTGAAGCTCCATCTCACGCACTTTGGGCAAGTGGCCAAAAGGGACTGGTCCTTGGAGAAGGACATCATGCTTGGAAGGGTGGAGGAACAGTGCAGGAGAGGAAGACACTGAATAAGATGGATTCATACAGTACCTGAGGTAATAGGATTGGTGTATCGGAATCAGTGAGACTGGCTTCAGGACAGGGCAGACTTCAAAGCTGCTGTACATTTGGTTGATATGGGTTGCAGGTGAGTCAATGGCACACAATAACAACAACAACGACAACAACATCCCTAGTGCCGTGGCCTCCCAACAACAACAACAATGACAACAACATCCCTAGTGCTGTGGCCTCCTATCAATCCAGCTTGTATTTCTGGCAGTTTTCTGTTGATGTACTGTTCCAGTTGTTTTTGGAAAATATTCATTAAGATTTTGCTTGGATGTAACATTAATGATATTGTTCAGTAATTTCCCCATTCTGTAAGATCACCTATTTTGGTGAATGGGAATAAATATGTATCTCTTCCAGTCAGAAAATTAGTTAGCTGACTTCCAGATTTCTTAGCACAGCCTGGTGAGCACATCTTAGGCTGCATCTGTTTGTTGAAATATCTGAGTTAGTATTTCATTAATTTTTGGGTCTTTATTTTTTGTCAATTTTATCAGAGCAATTTGAACATCCTGCTTTATTATTATTGGTTCTTAATCATGAACCTAAAAAGGTTCTGTGTCAGCCAGTTCTTTATGGTACAGTGAATCTGTGTATTTCTTTCATCTTGTTTTGATGCTTCCTAGACCATTCAATATATTACCCAAAACATCCTTAAGTTTTCAACTTATGGACTGAATATCTGTTCTTCAGTTCCTTCAATTTGAGAAATGCGGAATGAGTTCTTACCTTTTGATTTTCTGACTCTTTGCACATTTTATTATAGTATTTTACTTTGTGTTTTCAATCTGCGTTTTGAAATCTTCTGTTTAACTCTTTCACTTTCTTATTTCTTGCTTTTGTTTTGGCTTCTCAGCATTATAGTGCACTATTCAAAGTTTTGTCTTGGACTTTCATTCATCTTGTACTCTTTAATGACCTTTTGCTTTCTTTACCACTGGTCATTTTCATCATAGATAGAAAAAGGATTGGGGTTAATGATTCCAGCTTGCTTGGATCCACACTCAACACTCTTGGCACCAACAGTCAGAAAATCAAAAGACAAGTTGCCTTGGGAAAATCTACTGTCAAGGATCTCTTCAGAGTGCTAAAGAGCAGTGGTGTTAGTCTAGAGTCCAAGGTGCACCTAATAAGTATGAAAGAAGATTCAATGCCTTTGAGTTATGGTGCCAGAGAAAAGTAGTGAACATACCATGGACTACAAAGAGAACAAATAAGTCTGTACTGGAGAGGGTGAAACCAGTCTGCTCATTGGAAGCAAGTATTTTGAAACTCCCAGCTCACACACTTTGGGTATGTCCCTAGGAAGGACTGGTCCTTGGAGAAGGACATCATGCTTGGACGGGTAGAGTCAGAGCAGAAGAGAAGGACCAAAGGACCCTAATTAGATAGATTGACACAATGGCTATAGCAGTGGGATCAGGTGTATTAGAGATGATGAGGTATGTTCAGGAAAGGGTGAGTTTCAGAGCCATTGTCATGGGGTCTGTATGAGTCATAGTGGACTCAACAGCACATAACAACAACAGCACCAGTAAAGAGATTCAGTCTTGGGATTAGCAGAGCAAGTCGCTATACTGTGTCCTGAAAGAGTGCCTGATAGGGCTATTTTAAGATCTCTAATTAAGTGGTACTTTATGAAAGAAACAAAGTTATCAGTTTTTAAAGTATTTATACTATTACATTTTTATTAATTCCACAAAAGACTAGTTAGTTTTAAATAGTTTTTAGTGTGCTTATATATATTGTCATTTTGTACAGAATCAGCTCAGAGCTGACCCCAGCAGATTTTCAGAGGAAGTAAAACACATGGAAGGATATTGCCCATCTTTCTCCCACAGAGCAACTGGTGGATTTGGATCCTGTACCTTTGATTTGACAATACAGCTCCTTACCACTGAGCTAGCAGAGCTCCCTCGTTTAAGTGTGTTTGCTGTTGTTAAGCCCTGTCGAGTCAGAACTGACGCATAGCTGACCCTCTGGTGGGTTTTCAGAGGCGATAAATCAAATGGAGGAGATTGGCTCTCTTTCACAGAACAGCTGATGGATTGAACTGTGTGCCTGTGAGTGAGCAGCACAAATGTTTACTAGTACACCACCAGTAATACTGATGTAGAAACAGAGAAATGGAATTAGGGTTAAGAATTGAAGTAAGAAAAAGCCCAAAAGAATAGGTCTTTTAAAGGGAGGGAATGAAGGATCAATAATAAGCATTAAGCAATTCTAAAATAAGTTGATCTTTTAAAAAATTGCTTATACAAAGCCTCTATATAGAGCATCTTTCACAGAGAGATGAATGCCTTTGGATGGAAAAGCCAGATTTTACATAGAGAATGAACAAATGATTTTGGGTGTTCTAAGACTGTTTGAACCTTTAGTCATGTCTACTTTTATTCTGTGTTGTTTTTTTTTAAAATGTAATGGGAATTATTCAGATATAAAGATAGCTGCTGGAGTCTTTTTATCCTTAGCAGTGATTTTTGCACTTGTATGAAAGTACATATTTAATATGTGTCATTTAATTGAATTTGGGTTATTTTGGTATACTTATTTTTTTTAAAAAACTAAACAAATTATCATGTATGTACAGTCATTACAATGGAACCAGACTGAACATTACTCACTTTGCTTTAAGAATAAAAAAAATGAAGACATTTTAAAATAAGAAATGAAGATGACTAATCCTATGTTTTCCCAATGTCTTAGAGGCCTGGCATTATACATGTAGGCGATAAAAGCCTATTATCTGTCATATTTTTATCACTTCAGGATTGGGGAAGGAGGCTATGCCACCTTCCCCCTCCCTCTTCACAGTGTTCTGGTTCTCTGCAGCAGCCTGCGTGCTGATGAGACCTATGTGTTCTGTTGCTGGAGTTATTCCTTTTTCAGGCAAAGAGCAGAGGGGTTGGGGCAATGCATAATTTCTCCTTTTCTTACCTAGTAGTAATATTGAGAAGATACCTTGTCCCCATTTTCATTACTTCTGAGATTTTACTGCTGGTGGCCAGATGTGCTGAAACTCCTGACGACAGCATCTATTCATTGCGTGTATTTAATAGGCTTTGAGAAATATGAGCAGAGTACATGAAAGCAGCTCAGCTTCACACTTCAGCTGGGAATGCCCAAATAGCTTACTGCTGTTTAGAATTCTTGCTACAGTCAGGAGAAAGCCGAAAGCTGTACGGGCACTGAATCTTCTACGACTGAATTAGAAGAATAATGACTGTACAATTAACTATCATCCTCTGCTCATTCAAGCACAGTTTTTACAGAGATCAGGAGAAATATGGAACTTGATTGGCATGTTTTTATTTGATGGTGACTGCAAATAGATGACTTTAAAGACAGGTGGTAAGGAAAAATAAGGGAAAAAGAAGGAAAATGCAATTTGAGACATTGCGCCAGGTCTGCAATTCTGTTTTATCTCATTTTCATGGGGTTTTTTCATCCCCACCAAATATTTTGCAAAATGAGCTTTTTGGACAAACGCTGAACGATGCAAGGTGAGTAGAGCTAAACTTGTTTTGTTTTAGTGTTCATATTTGTAGCATAATAATAATTTATGCCTGAAAAGATTGCACTGTATTGAGATGTTAGTAGTATTAGATTTTTAAAACACAAATATAGTCTTTTATGTAACATCTTCTCAATTTGACTTTAAGAAGTAGAAGAAGCTTAGTTCAGAGCATGAAAAGCATCTTATATTTAACTTGCTTGACCTCTGAAATATAATACAGACATCAGGCTATTTTATTTCTTCATTTTATAATCATTAAAAAGAACTTAAAATGCCCATTAGGTGTTTTCTTTAGGATGACAGCAGTGATTTGCTTGCATATGTAGGGGTGAGGCTCTCTAATCATGCATGATTTGTTGGAAAATGTGAATTAGCAATCATGCATGCCCTTTGTAAAACATGCGGAAGATGTTGTCTAGGTTTAAGACCTTTCTCTATGCAGGGGAGAATAAGAATCACTTTTAGATAGGATAAATTATGATGCTGATAAGAATTGTTTGCAATAGGATGGTTAGTTGGTGGGATTCTTTGTTACGAATTCCTATTGCTTGATCAGTCCGATGTGTGAGTGTGTGTGTGTGTGTATGTGTGCCGGAGGATGTGCCTTTATGAACATATGTTTTCTCCGGCTTGCACTAAGGGACACATCTTATTATAGAATGATTTTGAAATGCAGTTTTGCCTCATAGTTCTTCCTTTATTTAAGTAGTTTACCTTTTGAGAATTCCTGTTTTATACCTTGTATAGGTAATATCCTGTCATTATTAAATATATGTGCAAGAAAACAGAGAAAGCCATTCAGTGGATTTGATAACGCACTGAAACCTTCTGGAGCCGAGGGGGAACTAATAGTGCATGGAATTTGGAGTGGCTTTGCTGGGCTTCCTGTTAGCATCTCTGAGCAATACAAGCTAGCCTACTTCAGAGATGGGAAAATTACCCATTACCCAGTTTATCTCTGTATGGGCTGAAGTAAACGAAGCTTTTAAAATTTGTTTTCATTTAAAGATTAACTAATTATAACATATTTATGAACTTTGTTTTGAATATGGGATAACATCTATATTTTCTAAAATTGCACTTCTATTTCTCTCTAGGCAGATCTGTTCACTTAACATAATTGGATTTTGCCATTTTATTCTTGGACTGATTTAGAATATATAACAGTATGTGAAATATTATGCTATTCTGTAATAGGCTGCCTACATTTGAAGATACTATTTTCTTTTTTTTTTAATAATACCTTGCTCGAGTGTTTGTACTACATGTTATATTTAAATAAAAAGAGTAAGATTTCTAAAAATTTCCATGATCTGAAGCTCACCAGAGTTTCAGTGGCATTTGTACTCATTATTTTAAAATCTTTCCCTAGTTTTATTCCCGTATCCTTCTATTATTGCCAGCATTTCTGTATATAAAATATGAATATGAAGGCTAGGTATATATCCACTTCATAAATTGTACTACTAATAAGGATTGCTCACTAGCTTAAAAATATGAAAGTATTATTTTTTTAAAAAGAATCATGTATTTTTCTATAATTGCTTTGCTCTGATTTTAAGTTTCTTTTGTTGCTTGTTGCTTATAATTTAATACTGTTGACATTTTGTAATTTGATGATGTTACAATTATATGTTAAATTGCATAGTTTTCAGTATCTTCATAAAACCAAACTTGGCTTATTTTTATGTTCTTATCTAAAGTTATTTACAACTTTTAATCAATAGAGAACTTAATCTGATTTAGGGAAAAACGTCCTGCATTTTTATGTTCTTAACTAATGAGAAATATATATGATTTCACAAGTATAGATGCTCTCATAAATAATAAATTACTTGATTCACTTCTAAAAGCAGTCAAGTGGTGATACAAGTAATTATTATTTAGAAATATAAAAAGTAAAATTTGTCTATGTGAACTTTCAGTTAATGCAGTTGTTTCCATATATTCTGTAGTATACTTAAACATTGATATTTTGGCCATTTCTTGTGTCGAGGACAAATACAATGCTCTTTAAAACATTTTATTTTGCTTAAAATTTTGCAGCAATGGCACAGGCAGTAACATTTCCCTTAGCATTGGATTAGTTAGTAAGATGTAGGTTAAAAAATTGATCTTGAAGAAGTATTACTGAAAACTATCTAAATATGCCATCAGAAGGTATGATCCTAGAACAACTTTAGAATTTTTTTTTCTAGCAGTGGACCCTTAAGCATCATGTACTGGACATTCATGGTCTTGAACATTTTAAGCATCGATTATATAACCATCACCACTGGACTAGTTAAAATGTCATAGTGAGTGTTGGTATTAGGACTGTAGCTATGCAATTTTCCCCAGGTTGATGTGAAAGAAGTCATCAGAGATATGGACAGTATTATTGTGTTTCATTCTCAACTGACTTTCAGGAGAAATTACTAGGAGACTAGTAGGATGTATTGATTTTAGACCATCTATTAATACAAAGGGACTCTATCAGATTTTTTTTTACACTGAGTTGCTTCTTATGGTAATTAATCTTATCATTAAATCTGCAATTTGACTTTCATCAGGACTTAGTGTGGGAGGACAGTTTCTTTCTCAGACATTGTAGATACCTAAGGTTAAAAGATAAAACTCTCTTGGAAAAATTGCTACAGAATTGTTGAAAGGGTAACTTGCCACTAATTTATAAAGATATAAAATATACCAATAATAGTTTATATGTCATGGATTACTGAATTGGAGATTAATGTGGACTGGTAAACTATTTTACTACTTAATAAATAATTGAAATTTATTTAGTACTGAAACAAACTAGAATATTTTAAGATTTTTTTTTAAACTGGACAGTAGAACCCTTTATATTTTGGTTGGAATATTCTTAGCTTTTCCTTCGATCATTGGGGTGCTTGAGTACCGTATTCGTGCATAAAGGGAATACAGGATGACTTCCGTTATTTTGCAGGTAAAATGACACAACTACACATTCAGAAGAAAAAAAATTTATCTGTCCCTCCCGAGAAAACAACTCAATAGATTTTGATGAACTGGCACTTTAAGTTCTTATCAAGTCTTCACACTGGATAAACTAATTTTTCATAAATTAAATCATTTAATCAGGACACAAAGATAATTGCTTTTGTCACAGTAAAAAAAGTCCTCAGGTACTGAATTCATTAAAAAATCTGATGTTTGTGATCTTGTCTTTGGAAGCAAACATAAATAATGGGATGCTAGAAGGTATATTTTTAGCAGAGTTATCTTTACCAAATTGAGTGATCAGTTGCCTTGAGCAGTGTATAAATGAGCATGATAATAATGACTATAATACAAGTAATGGGAAATGGACTCAATATTCTCTAAGTTTTTTCTGTTTGATGCTTTTAGTAATCCATCGTCTTGATGCATCTGTTTCTTTGCCTTTAAGTGTATGACAGTGAATTTTCTGGCTGACCACAGAGGGGCATACTATGACTGGAGTTTGTGCAGAATGGATATTAAAGACATTCTTTTCCTCCATTTCTCACTATACATGTATACATATTGAAATATGCAGACTCTCACATTTTAAACCAATTTCAAAGCAAAACAAACAAAAAACTTTTAGTAGAGCAAAGAATATTTGAAATTTTTTAAGTTATAAATAAGAAATTTATCCTACTCTTGGCCTGGAATAACCCCAATATACACCTGCTGTTTTCCAGAAATTATTATCGGTAGGGCTCTCTCTCTAAAACCTCTCATTGTTTGGTCATGATGATTTATAAAGTGAAGTGTAAATCGTAAATTCCTCCAGTGTTAATATCATGGATCCATTCTCAATGAAATATTCCCAAGATACTAAAGCATTAATATTTTCAATAAAAGTAGGTTTTAGAAAACGAAATGTGTGGTTATTTAGTCTGAAAAAAATTTTTTTGAGAAGTCCTGTATACAACATTTACTATTACTATTCATTTTAATGAAGCCATCAGTTTGTGCTGAGGATTATTGACGTAGACACTTGTTATTCATCATGGCACATTAATGAATGCTTTGACGTTGAAAGAACAGCCTGCTGACTTTTTCATACCTCTGAGAGTGCATTCTGCACAGTGTGAGTTGTTTGCACTTGATGTGGTCACAACACAGTTGGTTTTTTTTCACATAGGAATAAATTGTTTATTCTGAACTATAAGGCACATCCAGACATTTTAGTAAATAATTACTATAAACTTAAAACATATTAATTATCTTTGTACAGGGGACTCTGGAGAGCTAGTGCTAAGGGGTTGCACTGCCAACACAAAAGCACTGAGTTCACGTCTCCCAGCCGCTCTCTGAGAGAACGGTAGGCGGGGCTTTCACCTGTGATTTGCCACCTCTGAAAACTTGTCCGTGGGTCAGCTCTGAATTGATTCTAATTTGATAGCATCTAACAACAACAGTAACAAAAACACATTTTGTATATAAAGATTTATTATTTTTAATGAGTTTCCATTTACATTTCTAGACAAAATGACTTGACTCACAGGTATATAGCATGAAGATTTTTATCAGATTTGCAGTGTATATATCACAATGATTATTGCAAATGTTTACTCCAATCCAGATCTTCAATATTGAGTTTTAAATTGAAAGCTGTTTGATAAAGCCACTACTTTAGAGTGTCTGATAGCTTACAGATAAATTTTAACCATTCTTTTTTATTATGAACTTCCTTCTGATCCTCATAGGCTCAGTAAAGTCAAGGAACAGAGTGATGAATAAAGTTCTTTCTATTTAATTTTGGCATTGTTCACTAAATAGAAAAGTGAAATCCTTTCTTATGTGCTGTCAGCTTTCTTATGCCTTTTTGTTACTCACAAATACTTTATATATTAAAGAAAAAAAAATTACCTGACACTGACTTGGAGTCTGTATTGGTCTCTGAATTTGAGAAGCAGCAAGGGTCTCAGAAATGTGTGTAAAGCTAGAAAAGGCAAATACAAATCATTACATTGCAAAATTGTAATACCCTAAAGT